TACATACATACATACATACATACATACATACATACATACAGACTTTCTGCTTTATTATATAGAAGATAAGCTCAGCTATGTACTGGGATTAGCACACGTTTCACAAATTTAATGTTCGTGGCTGGGTTATGGTTGGAAAAATGCGGACATGTTCTTCTTCTTCAAATCTCATCTAAAAAATGTTCAAAAACTCATGCATGTACACGTCACTATGGCTATAAGTAGCAGCAATCTCTGTCTTTTTTCAATGCTTTTGATAAGCTTTGCTTCCTGGATGGGACATAACCTATACAAAATTGCTTGATTGGTCCGCTATGTTATTTCGATTAAGCTTATTCCATAAGCCAGCGCTCTAAAATAGCTAGGTTGAACATAACATAGAACATACGTATGTGAAGAGAAAAATTCGAAATATTTCACCCAAAGCAACATCTTTTTTATCTTCGCATTTTCCCGCTTGCGCAGGGTTTGCTGTACGAGTCAACTGTCTCTAGTATTCTCGATTTAAGGCAAGATGTTCGTCTATCCTAAGCTCTTTCAGATCAGCTCTGATTCTGTCCATCCACCTCATCTTTGGTCTTCCTCGCGTCTTTTCCTAGCGACTTCCAGAGATATGGCCATTCGTGATGTGGTTCTCATCTCTTCTACTCATATGTCTGTATCATCGCAGTCGCTTTTCCTGCATTTCCTTAACAATGGGAGCAAGTTTTATTATTGCACGAACTGTGTCACTACAGACATGATCCAGCAGGGTGATACCCAATGCCCATCGCAGCATTCTTGTCTCCATGACACTAAGTTTGTGTTATTCATTTCGCATACTGGGCCAACATTCGCTGCCATATCGCTGTGGGACGGATCATAGTACGGTATAATTATTTGATTTGCACTGGCATTCGCTTGTCGCATAGAACTTCTGTGAAGGTTCCCCATTTCATCCAGGATGCGTTTTTTCTGGCAGATATTTCATCTTAAAGACCTCCTTCGCCAGAGATGCAACTTCACAGGTACTTGAAGGTACTCTCTTTCTTTATTGGCTTCTCATCGATGTATATGGTTTCTGAAGTTTGACCTCCCGTTTTCATATATTCTGTCTTCTTTGTATTGAGCTTTAAGCCATACGACCCTAATCGATCCTTCTATCTCTGTGTTTCTTCTTCAAGTTCTTCTCTGTTTTCTGCCATCAACACCACATTGTCTGCATACAGAAGAGCCCATGGAGGCTGTCTGTTGAGACCTTCCGTCACTGCATCCATGACTGTGCTGAAGGGTAGAGGAGAGAGCACCGATCCCTGATGCACGCCGGTCTTTATGCGGAATGGTTTTGACTGTCCTGCCGC